CATGTTTTTCCTAAAACATAGAACAGTAAATAAAGAAGTAAAGCAAACAATTATCTTTTCTAGTTACGATCTTTGTACTCAGTTGCTGCTTGAAGTAAGCTGCTAAGACTTTAAAAATTATGAAACATTTTTTTAAGGTTTTATATATATTTGAATAACTAAAAAATCAGAAATTACTACATCAGGAAGTTCTTTTTCTTTTCACCTCCATCTTTCTTACTTTGCTTGATTTCATATTTTCTTACCTACAGGGGTACACGCACAACAATTTGAAAAACACTGATATAGGGTAACTAACAGTTTGTAATGATCAAGAATTTTCATACCAAGTAGACTAATTTCATAATTTTCATTCTCTCGTGAATGGGTATCCATCAAACGATGCAGCCATTCTTTTGGTGTTTCTTTCTCCACAGCTGTCTGAACAAAATCCTGGACAACCTAACAAGAGAGAAAATGTATTAACTTGATCAAATTTGGGAATAAAACTGAAATATTATTGTGATCTTTTTGAGATTTTGACCACTGAACAAAGGGTCTTTTTGAGTATTGTGCACAATTGGTACTCAAAATTTGAGATTTGAAGAAGTTTAGCAATAAAAACAAAAAAAAAAAGAAAAAGAAACTAGTTTTAGGCTCTTTGTTACCTTCACCTCTGTCCTGAATAATTAGTGCTCAATACCTATAACTTGCTGTTTTTTTTTATCTTATTGTGACTGACATTTAACAAATTAACTAGTCTAATAGAACAAAAGTGTCTTGTGTGATTTCAAATTCAATGTGATGTCCCACAGATAATCTCCTTGAAAATTTGCTGAATTTGTTTTTAAATATCAATATGATATGAATCATTCAAACTAACAGGAATACAGTGTAAACCTTGTAGCTTTTTCTTTTTGATAAGCCTTGCTTTGTAGATAACACATAAAAGTAGCAACTGATTATGTTGCTATACATGTTATCTACCAGAGACTGTAAAACTTCTGTTGACTTAGTAAGTCATATTGATGTTCCTATCACCATAAGAAAACAACCACAGATGTTTTACTAAGGATTTGGTAAAGGATTTCTTTCTTTTCATTTTTTAATAAATAAACCTGAAGCACAATCCAGTTTTTATTCTCTGTTTCCTAAAGCAGTAGGTC